GTCGTAGTGTAGTGTTGGTGTGTGGCTAGAGGGGGTGGTCTGTGGGGGGGGGGGGGGTCGTTGGCCTCGCTGAGAAAGGTTGGTGTTGATGGTGGACGACGTGGATGGTGGGGATTGGGAGGGTGAGTTGTGGGGGCAGACAAAGGGACTGGTGAAAAGGACATCCTCTTAAGTCATTAGTCTAAGAATTTGTATTGTGTTTTGCTGGCTTATTTTCCCTTTCGGTTTTCTAGTTGATATTTGTAACCTTCAATGGGGGTGGAATGATAGTGGGTAAAACGGAAACAATATTTTTACTTTTCAAAGTCTGAAAAAAGAACACGGTTTCGTGTAGTGTAAATTTTGCAAGACTCTACTTTTGTGACCAACACATGGAATATAGCAACACAATTGCCCACAACAAAAAGTGATGATTTGCTTCAATTGTGTTATTGGATATTTCTAGTTATAATATGGAGTATCTGGCCTGGTATTAATTTTTTTCGTGACATTATTCCAATCTGGGAAAAGATTTCAGGTGACTGAAAGTGGAGTGGAAATATTTTTTTCTGAGAAACAAACTGATTTTTAGAATGTATGTTTTGTAAAAGAGGGAGTGTGTGTTTGTGTGTGTGGGGGGGGGGGAGGGGTAATTTATATTTAGCTTACAGCTTGGGGGAGGGGGTTTCGAATCTCTAAGGAAAAAGAAACAAAAACAAAGTACTTGATTAATAACATGGGCCCAAATGAGAAATCAAAATGAGATTCATGTCAGTTAGTTAAGAGTTTTTCGGCACACACAATGTAAGATTTCCGTGAGAACGAACAAGCACCACAAACAACAACAAATACAAAAAGAGCAGTCATGGATTTACATAAAAAAGGGCAAAATTCCTGTGCCAAGACAGATTATGACAGAGTTTACAATCAATCGTTAACATTAGAAACCATGTTCGTGTGTGGCTGGCATGTGCTCTGATGTGGTTTGCTCCTTCTTTCCTATCAAACATCTATCATCCTTAACGCTCCTCCTTCTTTTTTGTGTTTGGTTACTCTCTTGTAACACCTCTAATCTTCGGCACTTATTAGACCTTATAGTGTTTTAAAGGCCGTAAAACTCTTACTAAAACTTTTTTTTAAAAAACATGTTTTGACTCCTCAGGAAAGCAGCCAAAGCCACCTTGATTCTAGTCCCTCTGTTCGGACTTCAGTTTCTGACGTTCCCGGTGAGACCCGACGAAGGTTCTCCCCTCCATGACGTATACCTCCACTTTATGGCACTACTCATGTCACTGCAGGTACCGAGGCGGCAGCCCCCTGTTGATATGTACAAAGCCCACATTTTAAACTGTGTTCTTCTTCTTCTTCTTCTTGCTCTTCTTGTTCTTTTTCTTGTCCTTGTTCTTGTTCTTCTTCTTCTTCTTCTTCTTCTTCTTCTTCTTCTTCTTCTTCTTCTTCTTCTTCTTCTTCTTCTTCTTCTTCTTCTTCTTCT